TGGAAAAAATCTAATTTCCAGGTTAAATCTGATTACAGTTCTTCCAGAGGCTTGAAAATCCTGCTGCTTCTCTCTGCAGCAGGCAGCAGGCAATGCCCTTGCCCCTGGGGAGCTTAATTCCCTGGTCTCCATACTGTAGCTGCCTGGTGGGTCGTACATCTGCTCCCTACCCTTCCCCCAAACCCCTGCCCTTTTTTTTGCAGCGCTGTGGATGGAGCCCAGAGCCTTGTGCATACTAAGCAAACACTCTATAACTGAGCTATATTCCCAAGTCCCTTTGCTCTTTCTTTTTTGCTTCTCCCTAGCAACTACTGTGACATCCAAATGTGGGACCTTCCATACATCCACCACATGCATTGCGCTTCTTGTCTGAAATCTTTATCTCCAGCCACATCACTTGTTTATGTCTTTTTACTTGCTTTCAGTTGGGATTTTGTTTTTATTCTTACTGATTTATAAGAGTTCTTACAGATTAAAGATGTCATTTTACTGCTAGATGTTACAAATACTTCACCCTAACATGTCAGTTATCTTTTGGCATTCCGTATGCCCCTCCCCTTTTTTGAGACAGGGTCTCCTGGGCTCAAGTGTTCCTCCTTCTTGAGCCTCATGAATAGCTGAGACTACAGGGGTGTGCCACTGTTCCTAGCTCCCTTTTAGTTTCTATTATGAAAAATACCAAAGGCACAGAAGTGGTGAGAGGGATGTAGTGGGTCTCTCACACACTCCATACCAGCCTCTGCGATGCTGACATCATAATCTAGAAGTAAAGCCTCTGCCCATTACTCCACCTGAAGTGCTCACTGCCTGTCGATCTCAGGCATGCTTAAACAATCACCATGTTGTGTGGCACTTTTTCAAAGTGATGATGGTGCATCTTTCCTTAACAGTTCCTTCCATTGCTGAGAAGTTGAGAATAGCATCCTCATCCTCAGACCTTGCACTGTCTGCCAGAGATCCTGTGGTCTTGGCCGTCAGCACAGATGGACATGGCCTCTGCCTTGTGTGAGGCATAGGCTGTAGGCGTCCTGTTTAACCTTGTCCTCTGCCTGGGCACAGTGCCTGTTCTTGTGGGCTTGGCTAGAAGCTATCCCTGAAGCTTTAGACACCATCTGATTCCAATAGGAGCAACAGGGTAATGTTAGCAATAGGGCTCCCAGAAGTCGTGGTCAACTGGTATAGAGAGCAGATGCCTGACAGGGCTGAAGGTAAGACAGAGGCAGCTCTCACGATGTCCTCCCAAGCAGAAAAAGTGGGTTTTGGCTCTTGGGCCGCTTCCTGGTACCATGCCTTCCTCAGCATGGGCAGAGTATAGAGTGGGGAGGAGGAGGAGGCACAGTGTTCCTAGTCCCCTCCTGGGCTCTGATAGGTGGCTGGCAAAGTCTCAGGACTGGAGCCTGGCCCCATCTGCCCCCCTGCTGCCTGATTCTTAGGAAATTCCTCTAATTCTTCAACCCAGATTGGACTCTGGCCCCATAATTTGATTTTCCAGGGCAGAGCTTTGGCTGGACTCCTTCTGAGGAGGAATGTCTGGGTCAGCAAGAAGATGTCAACTGTCGGTTTTGGTTTCAGGGAAAGATTCAGCTTCTGTCTCAAATCTTTCTGATGGTGTCTTCGTCCTTCTGTTAGAACCAGCCTTGACCGCATTTGCCCTCACAGACATGTGGCCTGGACTTCCTCCTTCCAGGAGTGTTGAAGAACTTTGACAATACCTACTTGCCCCCACCACCCACCCATCCATATGTCCAACTATGCATTCAGTCTGTCACCTATCCTCCTATTTGTCCAGCCTCCGGCCATCCCATCTGTCTAGACTTCTACCCAGCTTTTTACCCATCTACCCACTATGTGCCCACTGGTCCATATGCCTACCTATCAAACTAGCCTTTCATCAACCCTTCATCTTTTCATGTAACTATCTCCTCGTCCTCCTGTGCACATACCTGTTCTCTCTCCATTCACTTGCCATCCATTCAGCCTGCTAGCCCTCCATTCCTTCCTCCACCCACCCATCCATCCATTCATTCATCCATCCATCCCACCAACAACCCATCTTCTCATCTGTTCATCTACAAATCCTACTGTTCCTCCATTCACCCACCTGTCTGTCCATCTCCATCATCCCACCTGCCCATTCCTCCATGTACCAACCTATCTGTCTATCCCCCAACCTTATTTGTGGTTTACTCCTACTTCCATCTCCCACTTCAAGCTCATGTGGCCTGAGCAGCTTGTTTGTCCTGAGCTTCTCCCCTTGTGATCTCATAATGGTCATTTACAACGAGTGTCTGTTATGCTGGGACTCATCTATCTCTTTTCTCTTGCAGGTGAGTTTTTCAGGGTTTAATCTCAGTCCTGATCTTCCCAACCCCTCTCACAGGTTCCTGATGTTTTTTGGCCTGGAGATGCATGTTGCCTCGTGGTCCTGCTATGCCATTACTTGTGGGTTCCCTATGTCATTCCTTATTGCTAAATCAATATCATGGATAGCCATGTTTTGTAAGAAGTGGGTTCCTCAGAGGGAAGTGTGAGGCCGTTGCTGTGGTCTGGGTGGGGTTGTAGGGACCCAACTTTCAGGCAGCAACATACTTTCCCAAATGCATAGAGGTCGTGACATGGGCTAGAGAGGACCCACAGCATTTTACTTCCCTGCCTGGCTGCGAGGTGCTCCCTGGGCCCTAGCAGAAGGATGTCTGGTGCTCCCTCAGCCAGGAAGTACAGCTCTGTGCCCTGAGTCCCAGCTGGGAAAAATGTCTTTGAAGTCTCCATGGCTAATCTTAAAAATTCGTGTGCATTTTGCTTTCCATGACATCGCATATTTATTATCTCAATACAAAAATAGCATTTTGAGTTGCCATCCAAAAAAGATGTCCTTTGAGGTGCTGGGCCTAGGTCACCTGTATCCACACATATTCCTGTGCATGGACTCGGTGCCAGCATATTTAGGACGCTGAATATGCCCTGCTCTACCTAGATGCTTACAGTCTTTATGGCTCAGTGCACACCCAGGAATAGACAGAGAGTGCATGGGGCCAGGGAAGATAGCAGGGGCCCAGAACCCTGGTCTCTGTTGTCTTGTGGGTGTTGCCATTCTGGCCGGAATGGGGATGTTACCTGGGAGACACACAGTCATTTCTCACTATGTGAACTGAATTGGGCAGTGAGAAAGCCAGTGTGGGGTTTGGCCACTTTCTCACTGTGGCCTTAGAATTCTGGGCCCCTAGCCAGCTCCCAGCTGCAGCAGAACCCCTTCAGGGTGGGCCTCTTTGGACCCCAGAACTGACAGCATGCTTGGCTTAGAGGGAAGGAGTAGTCAGGGCAGTGTTTGCAGCTGACCTGCTCCTGCTGGGTAGGGGCTAGGGAGTACCGTAGGAGAGAACCAGAGTTCAAGCAGGAATCTGTGTCTCTGCACAAGTTGGGAAGGAAGCTACCCCTTGTCCACCAGGCCAACAGTTGTCCTGTGGTTCCCTATCATCGCTACCCAGGGATACTATCCTAGTCCCTTCTGCCTCTAGGTTATAAATCTCAGCTGATATGGGGCAACTCTGCAAACAAGATTCAGCTGATGGTTCAGGTGACCTGGTTCCTGCCACTGACCCTGTCTCTTCTAGAAAAGAAGAGCCATACTCATTTGGGGACCAATACCAGGCTTAGTCCATACAGGCATAAGGCCTACTGCCTATGCCCAGGCTGGGCCTACGTGCTGGTAGTTGTCCTGAGTGGCCATGCTGTGCTATTTGTCTCTGTATGCTATGGTAGCCAGAGGACCCCATCTTCATCTCACTCTCTAGCCCAGTGGTGGCCACCGCCTCTGACTATAGTTTCATTCATTCTGTCTTAACTGCTCCTCTGCCTACACTGGCATCCCTTAAGCTCAGGCTGTGCATTGGTGCAGGGGATCCAGCGCAGTTGGCCTCAGAGAGCTGGCATGGGCCCAGCCAGGAGCAAGCCTCAAGCAGCACTGGGCAGAGAGCCACACACCAATCTCTGGGCCCTGGGACCGCAGGGCCGCACCCACCCATGATTGTGAGCCTCCAGCTGGGCTCTGCATACTTGGCCTGCTTATTGTTGCCCCTGAAAAACAAACACACTGGCTAGTCAGGGAATAAGCTGTGGGGGGAAAGCGCTGGCTCCTTGCAGCAGATGCCAAGTCCTGGAGCTCTGGCACCCACAGGGACAGCACTGGGCCAGGGCCTGGGCCTGACCCTCCCTGAATGCTAGGCCTCGGTTGCTTAGGTCCCTGTCCTCTTCTGGCTCAGGCTTCATATATGAGCCACTTGTGAATACAGGGACTCTGAACTTCATGTGGTCCCAGTCAGAACCTCAACTAGGCTTTGACTTGGTTGTCAGCTGGCAAGTGAAGCCATGCTAGAGCGGCTTCATGATGGCCAGACTCTTTGTCCCCAGGCCAGTGTTGCTGGTAGTGCCAAGGCAATGGTCACTGCACACCTGCCACACCCGCCTAAGTTACCCTGCACTGGTGGCAGTGGAACAGCTTCTTACTCACTGCCTGCTGGCTGCACCAGTTCTGCCATACCTCCCATGTAACTGCACATGGTCCCCTGGGCTGAAATATCTAGATCTTAGTGTCACCTCTGTGATGGGGCTGGGAGGTCCCCTGGGACTGAGATGATCCAACATGTGCTGTAGGCAGCAGAAGACTTAGAAGATAGTGAGCACTCATCAGGCCAGCCCTTTTTGCCCTTCCCAGCAGGTGCTGAGACACCTATAGTCCACAATTCTGCTGGGCCTGGCAGGAAGTGGAGGACCCTGGGCCAGAGCCCCATGCCTCAAAGAGAGAGCAAGCTGGCTGCTTCTGGCCAGCCTCAGATTAATGGCTTTTAATTTAGAATTTAATCAATGCAGCTTCCCTCCAGAGAGCTAGATGCTATGGTCTGAGAGTGAGTCGTATGATCTGTGAGTGGAGTGGGCATGGGGCCTGTGATGTCCTCATCAGCTGCTGCTTTGCCCCTGCTAAGCTTGCTCTGCTTTGCCTGCAGCTGGCCGGCACCCTGGCCATGGAGGACTGCAACGTGCATTCGGCAGCCAGCATCCTGGCCTCAGTGAAGGAGCAGGAAGCCCGCTTTGAGCGGCTGACTCGGGCGCTGGAGCAAGAACGGCGCCACGTTGCCCTGCAGCTGGAGCGTGCCCAGCAGCCTGGCATGGGCAGTGGTGGTATGGGCAGTGGGCAGTCCCTGCCAATGGCCTGGCAACAACTAGTTTTGCAGGTAACAGCCCAGTGTCTTGGGGAGGGTGAAAATATTCAAGTAGGGAAACAAAGGGTCCTAGGTATGCAGTGGCTTATTGTAAGACCTGCTGGGGCTTCTGAGGAGGAAAGGGGAGTGGGATAGCTAGTGGATGGAAGTTTCACTTGGGTATGTTGGACACTGTATGAAGAACAGGCAGGATAGTGCCTGACTTTCAGCCCAGCACTCCCCACTGAGTGAGCCATAAGGACCCAGGCTGCTGGATAATATCTACTTTGGTCAGGTCCTTCAACAGCCTGGAGACACTGAGGGTTTTCCCTACCCTGGAGTCTCCCTGCCACCCTATTCTCCTTTGTCGCATGCACTAGTGGGCCAGCCCCAGGGGAAGTCCTAAGCAAAGCTCTAGGCTCTGCTCTAGGCTGAGCTCTCCCAGCAGTCAGTGGAAGAGGAGCCTCCTTCTCGCTATCCAGCTTTGACTTGGCCTGCTGTGTCCTCTGGGCTCCTAACAGAGTGATTCTATAGGGCCTGCCCAGTAGGATCCTTGGCTCCCTGCACTCCTAAATCTGTCAGTCCTGCCCCTCCACCCAACTCCACAAATCCCTAGCTCTTGCCACAACCCCACTCTTCTCTGGTCCTGCTGGGCCCCAAGGAACCGTACCCCACACATATGCACTGGTGGTTTGGCCTGGCCTATTGTAGCTGGAGACAAAGGGAACAAGCTGCTGGTCTCTGCTGAGGCTGTCCCCGTGAAGTAGCTTTGCCAAGCCAGGGCATGTGGAGCTCACAAACAAGCTGCCCTTGACCGTTTCCCAGGACCTGGGACAAGTGACTGCTCCCTAAAGCTGTTCTCTTCTGACAGTGGGCAGATACTGTTCCCTCACACAGAATCACAGGAACACAGTTACAACCAAATTACTGTCTGCAGAAGTCTTCACATACATTGGGGAGCCCTTTCTTCCCAGCATCTGGTACTTAATGGTTTCAAGCAAGCAGCACAGCCAGCCACAGGAGCCTTGGACCAAGGGAAGTAGGTGTGGGTGCAAAGGCTACCTCTGCAAATCCCAGGCCCCAAATATTCCAAAGGGTAAGGCTTGTAGCCCTAAACTCCAGAAGAGCAGTAGAACAGCCTAGTTAGGTTACATGGGAACAGTGGGAACCACTGACCCTAAGGCTGCCCTCAGGTGCCAGGCCCTCAGTCCAGCTCTCCCAGGCCAGAACCAGTTGTGCTGTCCAACCTGCAGAGAAGTGTGGAAAGACAGAGGGTACTGGAGGGTTGATACCCTAGCAGGAAGATGTTCCCACAGTCCGAGGCTGCCCTGGTCTTCTGGGGGTGAGGCCTGTATGGCCGTGGGCCACCGTCCCTCCTTGCCCTTGATTTTCTCAGGCTGGGATCTGAGAGTAAGTGTTTCCAGGGTAGTAGCTGGACTGGCCAGGCTGGTGGGATGCTGGAGGAGGCACCAGGCTGGCCAGGTTCAGCTGCCTCAAGGCAGAGCATGATTCCCAGATTAATCTCAGCAGGAAGTACCCATTAACCTATGTCTGAGCCACAGGTCTGAGCTAGGGTCTGAGAGCTTGGGGGCAGTGACAAGGTAAGTAGCTAGGGATCAAGGCTGCGGGAGCCATGGCCCATGATTGTTGCCGTGCCCCCTGGGCTGCTCCAGGATCCTGGTTGCTGTGCCTTCCTTCTCTAGCAGGAAGCATCCCCAAACATGCAGAAGGAGCAAAGCTGATCCTCAGCCAGTGAAGAAGAGTACCCCTAGGGCTTGCCCAGTTTAGTTCAGGGAATATGTAGTAGGAGCACTAGCAGTTGGTGAAATTGGGAAGACAGAACCAGCTTTGAGATAAAATTATAAAGTCATATTCTCTCAGAGCAGTGTGTTCTACTCCCTGGCCTGGGTGGCTCCATGCAGGGCTGATGTGAATGGAGGATGCAGGTGGTCATCAGTCAGGACAACTTATGCCTGTCCCCAGGTGTAACTGAGGCTCAGAAGTGCACACAGTGGGCACCCAGAGTGTCTGAGCGTGCTGGCTGTGTGTCTTCTGTGTGCAGCACATCATGGAAGTAGGCCGTGGCCTCAGGGTAGGCTCACTTCTTCAAGTGGGATCAGGCCAGTGCCCCTCTTGCTGGACCCACTGAGTCTCCCAGGACTGGCCCAGCTGTGTGCATCTCAGAGCTGTTTTCACTGTTCATGATGCTTGAGCCATTGGGTTGCCTTTGTGGGGAATGACCCAGGAAGGTATCTCCAGCCTGCCCCTCAACTCCTCTATACCTAGGCCCCCCTACCCCCCCATAGTGTCAGACTCTCCAGGTGTGGCCACTGCAGGGTTGGGGGTGGGGTGGGTACACCTTGGTAGGAGAAGCCCTTTGTTACTGGCATCTCTAATCCCTCCCTCAGCCACCACTTCCCAGCAGATCAGATGTGTAGAAGAGGGTCTGAAGCAGGCTTAGCCCTCAGGACTTTTAGCAAGGGTCCAAGACCAGAAAGATTAAGTATCTCACCCAGGGTCACCCAAGAATTATCTCCTACCCCAGTTTCATCCAGTCTGACACCGTTCAAAGGATGGAGGGCCCTGGGCTTCTGTGTCTTGATGGGGAGAACCAAACAAGAAGCAGTCCTCCACCAGCTATTCACCAGGCCCTCATTAAACCCATGCGGAATGGGGGCCAGGCAAAGCCTAGAGGCCTCAAGAGACCTTACAGTTCTGACAGTGCCATAACTACTGTCTCATCAGCCAGGGGAAACGGATGAGTGTCTTGTGCCAGTGAAAGTGGCCTCCTAGGCTGCTCTCTACTCTGTAGAAACTCAGTTTCCCCAACTGTACAGGCAGAAGGGCGTGTGTGCTCATTTGCTGGGGACACACTGTGCCTGGGAAGGATTTGAGTAAAGTCTCCCCTGCTGGAAGATGTCACCGCTTGGGGGAGGAGCGAGGCACCCTGATGCCTGCTAAGGGACCCGGGAGACCAGAATCGGCCAGGCCAGGCTGCTGAGCCCCGCCTGGCCGCGCTTGGTTGGGGGGTAGGGCCCCGCCCCTGCCAGCGTTGGCGGGGGCAGGACCCCGCCCCGCCCCGCCTGGGCGCGGCCCCGCCCGATTGGCTGCTCGCCTTGGCCACCGCCGGGTCCGCCCCCGCGGGGAGCGAGGCGGCTGAGCCCTAGCGGTGGAGGCACTGGAGCCCGGTCCCGACGCCGCCGAACCCCGCCGGCCCGCGCCCCTCGACCCCTGGCCCGATGCCGGCCGAACTCAGACAGGTTGGAGGGAACTTGGTCCTGGGCAGGGGGCGCAGGGCGGGGCGCCGGCCTTCTCGGGAAGACCGCTTTTGTTCCGCGGAGTCGCCGACCCAAGGCAGCTAGCTATTGTCTGCTCTCTGGGGTCTGGCAGCCGGACCCCTGCGGGGTGGCGGGAGTGAGCACTCCGACCAGGGGGTGTGCAAGGAGGGGCGGGGCTGCGGGTCTCCTTAGCCTAGGCGCGGTGGGGGCGGGGGGTGCCCCGAGGAGCCGCCCCCCCCTCCCCCGCGCGCTTGGAAAAAGCCAGGAAGGAGCTGGGTGGATATACCTCGGCCAGCGCCCAGGACAGGTGGCGGGAGACCCGGGTGGGGGGCCAGGGCCTCTCCAAGCGGCCTGTCTGTGCAGGGCAAGGCTCAACCTGAAGAGAGAAGACTGGCTAGGCCTCATGCTCCTTGAGGGGCTGCCTCGCCTCCTCTCCCCTCTCCTCCCCATCTCCTTCGCGGGCTCCCACTCCCGGGACCTTCCGAGGAGCTTCTGGAGCTCTAATGGGCCCTGTCTGCCGCGGCAGCGCACGTGAAGGGAGGAGGTGGAGGCTTGCCCTGCCCACGTGTGAAGGCAGGAGGGGTCTCCGTGTAATGTGGGGCTGTCGACTTCCCTGTACTCTACTGTATTCTGCTCAGAGGGGGCGGGGTTCAGTAACAGGCAGGAAATTTGAGGCTTAATGCAGAACAGCCACTCAGAAGACTCCTTGTGGTAGGCTTGAAGTCTCACACCTGCCTACTTGGCCCCCCAAGTCCCTGTTCTGCAGTTCACTTATGGCCTCTAGGTCTGACTACCCCAAAGATGAAGCTGCCCATGGAGGAGGACTTACGATCCCCGTGTGGTTGGGCTTAGGTAAGCTGGGGTAGGTGACCGCTTGCTTCCCAAGCTTGCTCCCCCTACCTGCTGGGCACAGGATGCTCTTTGGCCTTCCAGCCACTCTGCAAGAGACCACCCCTGGCAGGTGCGCAGTCCCTGGCAGGAACTGTGGAGCATGTGCTCCAGGTTCCTAAGGGCTGGACCGAGGCTGTGAGCACCACAGGAGAAGGTGTTTTGTGGTGGTCGAGGGCTTGCTGCCTGGTGGGAGATGCCAGCCTGACTTGTCTTGCACTCTACCTAGGACAGCCGCATTGGGGTTGAGGGAATCAGAAGTGTCACTCCCCCACTCCTTTATCCGTGCACTGGTAGCCATCCTGCAGGCCTGCCCTAGGAACTGTGGGTTTCAAGTGTGCAGCTTCACTTTAACCTGTGCCTTGTATATGCAGGTAGCCTTGCCCAAGGTGGGTGCTAATCTGTGAAGTACATAGCCCTTTGAGCTTTGACCCATAAGTTTGCTTTTCTGCTTCCCACGTTCTTTGGCTGCATAAGTGGGCCAAGCCACCCGTACCCTTCCAGTGTCTGTGTGAGGAAGGGGAGCCCCAGGTGTCTGGCTGGGCCCAGGGTCTCAGGTTGTGCTCAAGAGTAGTGGTGAGTGAGTGAGTCTGTTTCCTTGGCCACTTTGGTTCCTCCCACAAGCAGTTGTAGGAAAACCTACGAGGCAAGCCAGGCCTGGGCTTGGTACCACGATGGAAGAGCCCTGGATGGACTTCAGACTCAAGGGCAAGTGAGGGGAGCTTGAGCATAGACCCTGAAAGAGGGAAAAGGATGAGTCTAGGGCTAGGGAGAAGTGACAGTAGGTGTTAGTCCGCACAGGGTGTGTGTTTGGGAGGGTCTGGGATGCTGTGTGCAGGATCCAACAGGGTGAAGAGGAAATAGCCCAGAGTCAGATTTTGGGCAGTACCAGTGTGGGGCTGCACAGCCAGGGTCCTTGAAAATGAGCTGGCCTAGATAGGTGTATGTGAGATGGGGAGCCCAGAAAAAGGCACCGTAGCTAGTCCCCTCTGCCTGCTTTTGATTGTATGGTGGTTAATAGCCCTAATAGCCCACCATCCCACAGACACCAACCCCCCAGGAAGCTGTTACAGAGCCAGAGCCATCAGATGGTCCCAGGCCATTCTCTGAACTGGCTTCAGTTTACCTATTTGTCTGTAGCTCAGAGACTCCCATAGTGAATGCTTGAGTGAGTGTACATGACATGACAGTACATGTCAAGAACCTGCATGGATAAAGGTCTCACCAGTGGGTGAAGATGAGAAGCAGGTACTCAGATGCATGCCTCTTGGAGCAGTAGGCATTGTACATTTGCGGTGCTGTTAAGAGACCCACATTCGTGTGAGTGGGCCTGTGTGCCAGCTGGGTGCTCATATATTAGTGAATATGCATGTGTTTCTGAGAGATCAGGTATACGTGTGTTTGAACGTATCCAGATCCTAGTACCTGCATGTGTGCCATGGCATGTGTAACAAAGCTAGGCTTTCCTGAGAGCACTGGATGATTCACACCCCCCACCCCCCCACCCCGGTGAAGTCATTGCCCATTTTTAGCTCCCTGAGGTCATTTGCTAGCAGGGACTCTTGGGGCCTCGGGATCCCGCTGCCCAGCTTTGGGCCTGGGTGTTAGTAGATGATGTTACAGGGTTGCCAAAATTTTGTCTAGGGACCCTGCTTCTTCTGGGCCACCCCAACTCTGCACCTATGTCAGACCCTTACCACAGCCAGGGTAGGAGGAAGAAGCTGGGCTGCAGAGTGGCAATGAGGTAGCATAATGTCTTTTCCCTTTCCTCTTGCCGTACTGCCTTGCAACGGAGAAGGGGGCTCTTTGCTGAGTATTTAATGCATGCAAACCTATGCAAATCTAGTAAGGGCTCCTGGCCCACTGGCAGAGTGTCCTAGGCAACACATCACCTCAGTCTTGCTCCTCTGCCTACTCTGCTGCCAGGAATGCAGCTTCTCAGTGCCTGGCCCACCATATTGGAGCACTGATTAGCCCCTAGGATGCAACAGAGAGAGCTGGGGCCTAACATGCAGTTTTCAAATACAGATGGGGCAGCCCAGGTCCCAGCAGGTCACTTACCCCTTGTTTACTCCTACGCTGGAGCTGTCCTGACTTCTTAGTCCTCTTGGAAAAGGGCCCAGACCACCCTGCCTGGCGGCCCGCCAGTTGTCCCCACTCTGGGCCTCAGTATATTTCTCTTTCCCAGGGAACAGGGTCTCTTCTTCCTGGCTAAGTCCCAGGAGTGCATTCCACCCCATTCTAGGACCAGGATGGTGGCTGTCAAGGCCCTGTCCCCAAGGGATAGGTGAGGTAGGTGCAAAGGTTCCTTTGTCAGACAAGTACCTAAAATCTCCCACCTGGCAATTGTGAAGTTCCCCTCTGTCACGCCTCCGTTTCCCCATCTATGAAGTTATTTCTTCTTCTCTGAGGTCTTGCTTCAGGGGAGTGGGCACATCCTTTGTCTCTACTTTCTCTGTCACCAGAGCCTGAGGGATGCGCCTGTCCTAACATGTTGGTTCAGCCTCCACCCAGAGCCCTACACTGATCTACTGAGGGTCAAGCATTCCTGTAGGACAGACCCTACCTGAGGGAGCACCCTGTCCTGAAAATCTCAGGAAGCAGACAGTGAGGGCAGCCCCGGGGACCTTGTGTGCCACACCTGCCAAGCCTAGGAAAGCACTCTGGATCCAGGTTGATGCAGTGTGAGCTGCTGGCCCTCAGGAGCCCCAGGCAGGGGACCTATGCTGAAAGGGCCTGGGACCCGGGCAACAGATTGGGACATGCCTTCCTGCTGACCTGGTCTTAGCTGCTCAGGAATGTACTCCCCCTCACATCCACCCACCACAGCTTGGGTTTCAGCCCCTGCCAGTCCTGGCAGATGCTGATCCTAGACTGTTGGCATGGTGGGGCCCTGGGGCTGGGGGACCTGAATGGGCAGAGGCCCAGGGACAGACGGTGGCTCTTGGGTCTCTCCCTGCCAGTCAGTATAGCAGGGACTGGCCTGTCCTCTTTGAGCCTCCATTTCTCCCCTGGCAAGTCCAGCCAATGAGAGGGCCTCAGTCCAGAGCTGTCCTATCTATAGTTCCCACCATCACCCTCCCACCCCCTGCAGGAGGATGGCAACGTAGATGCAGCCATGAATCTATCATCGCTAGTCCTTGATGTGACATTCAGGGTCTCCATCAGAGTGTGCTGGCTTCTGGTCTGAGGTTGGAACAGACCATGCCCACGCCATGCCCCAAGATTGTCTGGGCCGGAAGGAACAAGGATATTTTGGTGCTCTGGGTACACAGTGCATCCTGGGAGCTGGGTATTTCTGTCCTCCAAGGGGGCCTGGCGGGCCTTAGTGGCTGGAGCCTGGGTGTGGCCACAGAAGTCAGTGAGCAGCGCTGAAACTGCTATTTGATCATTTGTCCATTGCGGGCTTCTGGGATGGGGCAGGGAGGAGGCCCTGGTGGCAAGTAGACATTGGGAGGACATCTTGCAGGTTTCTGCTGGCTCCTCCTGGGCTTGGAGGAACCTGAGCAGTGAGTTCAGAGAGGGTCATTGTATGTTTATCTGCCAGGCCCAGGGAGGCACTGGGACGGAGTGAGGATCCTGTTATCCTTGCTGGCATGAGCTAAGACAGAGCCTTCCATGTTCAGGCACCCATATTCCAGGAATGCATCAGCTGCGGGTCCTGCCCCTGACACCTTCCCCTCAACCCCCAGGAGCAGAGCCCAGGCAGCCAAGCGTCGTTAGCCACGATGCCAGAGGCACCCGAGGTGCTCGAGGAGACTGTGACTGTTGAAGAGGACCCTGGCACACCCACCTCCCATGTGTCCATTGTCACATCTGAAGATGGCACAACCCGGCGCACGGAGACCAAGGTATGGCAGGGCCCAGGTGGCAGGCATGCAGTGAGGGAGCCACAGCTGTCCCTCTGCAGCGTGGGTGGTGGGCCAGCCTCCATGGCTGCCTGTTGTTTGGGTAGAAATGGAGGTCACCCTGGTTTTGCCAGAGCATTGGCTGGACCTCTTGGGCTGCCCAGCCTACCTACCACCTGCCTATCCACCAGGTCACCAAGACAGTCAAGACAGTGACCACAAGAACAGTACGCCAGGTGCCTTTGGGCCCAGATGGACTCCCCCTGCTGGATGGCGGCCCCCCATTTGGCCCTTTTTCCGATGGCCCCCTGGACCGGCATTTCCTGCTGCGTGGTGGTGGCCCGGCAGCCACACTTTCCAGAGCCTACCTCAGCAGTGGGGGTGGCTTTCCTGATGGCCCTGAGCCTCGTGATGGCCCTAACTATGGCAGCCTGTCTCGAGGGCTTGGAGTGCGAGCCCCACGCACTGGCCCCCTTGGCCCTGGACCTGGTGATGGGTGTTTCACATTGCCTGGCCGCCGGGAGGCCTACCCTGTGGGGCCTGAGCCTGGGCCACAGAGTGGCCGCTCTCTGCCTGAGCGTTTCCAGGCAGAGCCCTATGGCTTGGAGGATGACACACGCAGCCTGGCTGCCGATGATGAGGGTGGCCCTGAGCTGGAGCCCGACTATGGCACAGCCACACGGAGGAGACCTGACTGTGGGCGGGGCCTCCGTGCCAGGTGAGCACTCTGTTCCTCCTCTGGGAAGTCTACCTTCCATTCCCTAGCTCAGAGTACCAAGCCGCTGGGGCTGAGTTAGTCATGCACACATTAGTTTGAATTAGCATTGGCTTTTTTCCATGACAGCAGTAAGGGCAGGCCCCGAGATGGTAGGAGTTAGGCTGGATGGAAGAGACATTGGTGACAGTGCCTGACATCTGCTTTGCTATAGCCAGATAGCTGTCAAGATCTGAGCATAAGAGGCTTTGGGTGTTACTCTGAGCTTGAGGCCCTAGCCTCTGCCTGGGGTTCAGTCTCCCCATGCACAGTAGTAACCAGAACTTAGTGCCCTAGTCCCTCTTCACAGGCTTTGGTTCTTTTATGCAGCATAGGAACACCACCACAACCTGGGGCTAGATTCCTGTGTGACTCGGGAAAATCACCTAACTCCTCTAGCTTCATTCCCTTGCTGCGGAAGGGTTTTAATGACTCTAATCCACCAGGCTATTAAGAGCCAAGGACATCTCGTACCTTGCAGGGCTGGCGGTCTAACTGTCTCTTGAATGGTCCTACTGGAACAGTCATGTACAGGGAGGGTCACAACTCATCTCACATCCGGCACCAGCCAGATGACCTTATGGAAGGGAGTTGGGCTCCTCCACCCCCCACCATCACATCATGGATGGATGTTACATGGAAACACATTTAGCTCCTGGTGGCAGGAGTGAGGGAGCTCCCCATTCTGGGAGGGGTGTAAGTCCTGATGACCATTGTCCAGAACCCAGCTTTGAGTCAGTTCTTGCTGGGCTGGGATGTGACTCTTAGCGCCTAGGCTATGCTTTGGACTGAGACATAGATGCTCTCCTTTCATCCCTGCTCTGGGGTTCACAGTATTCTGGACAGTGTGATGGGTAGCTCAGAGGGCAGGGGTGGCGGCTGCTGTAAAGGTGTTCACAGGCCCTGCTCACCTGCACAGGACCTACGAGGACACAGCAGATGATGCCAGTGAGCTGACTGACGAGAGGCCCCCATTCCCGGCAACAACAGCACCACTGGCCCAGCCCGAGCGGGGCAGCCTGGGCAGCCTGGACCGGGTGGTGCGGCGCTCGCCGTCAGTGGACAGCACCCGCAAGGAACCACGCTGGCGGGACCCTGAGCTGCCCGAGGTGCTGGCCATGCTGCGGCACCCCGTGGACCCTGTGAAGGCCAACGCAGCTGCTTACCTACAGCACCTGTGCTTTGAGAACGAGGGCGTGAAGCGGCGTGTGCGGCAGCTGCGTGGGCTGCCGCTCCTTGTAGCACTGCTGGACCACCCTCGGGCCGAAGTGCGGCGCCGGGCCTGTGGGGCCCTGCGCAACCTCTCCTATGGCCGTGACACTGACAACAAGGCTGCCATCCGGGACTGTGGTGGTGTGCCTGCCCTGGTGCGCCTGCTGCGGGCTGCCCGTGACAACGAGGTCCGTGAGCTAGTCACCGGTGAGTGAGACTGGCTGTGCCTACTCCTCCCCAGGAAAAGAGGAAGGACAGCAAAGCTCAGCCTGAGAGCGGTGAGGCCACGGGGCTGGTAGCAGTCAGTCGGTCAGGAGTCCCTGCTGCTAGAATGCAGGCACTAGGCCCAGATGCTATGATAGGTCTTTCTTCCATGGGAGGGTAGCACTGGGCCCATCAGAAAAGTCCCCTCCCCACATATCACTATAATTCTCTCCTTGGTTTCTACCCCAGGACAGTACAGTGGTAGTGCTTGTGCCTTGTAGAACCTGAAGGACAGGTGGGGGTCCCAGGGGCCTTGGTCCCATGCATTTATGAAGCAGAGAATGGGTAGGAAGAAGAGTAGCTGCCATGCCCTCCTCTATACCCTACCCCTTCCTTCCCAACTGGGAGCAACCTTGGGTGCTGCCTATATATTTTATCCAGGCCAGAATAGGCCCCAGAACCCCTATATCTTTTGTTACTTTCCTAACTGCCTGTGTGGGCCAGGACTAGCTAGGGGGTAGAGCACTTGCCTCGCAGGAGCTAAGGCCCTAGGTTCACTCCTCAGCAGCATACACAAAACAACAGTAACAAAGCTGTACTAACTTTCTGTGTGGGCTGGGGCACAAGAAGGTGTGGGGGGTGGGCAGGGTCCATGATCAGTGTGGTACTCGGTGGTACCCTACAGGCACATTGTGGAACCTGTCATCGTATGAGCCCCTGAAGATGGTCATCATTGACCACGGCCTGCAGACACTGACACACGAGGTCATCGTGCCCCACTCGGGCTGGGAGCGGGAACCTAATGAGGACTCCAAGCCTCGGGATGCTGAGTGGACGACTGTCTTCAAGAACACATCGGGCTGCTTGAGGTCTGCATAGCAGCCACTCTTGGGCTTGTTCCCCCAGTCTGCCTGGGTGCTCCACTGTTCAGGGATGCAGGAGGAATACCAAAGCCAGTGTGCATATTTGACCTCGTCCTCAGGGCTGCCATGTCCTCAGGTTTCAAGATAACATGGAGCACAGTGAGCCACCTGAATCTTAGGAGCTTCAGAGCCACATCAGAAGTCCTGTGCATGGGAAATAGACTTGATGGGGCTTTCCTCACCCTCAAAGGCACCCTCCCAAGGTCTCCCACCTTTGCTGCAGTGCTTGACCAAGCCAGCCCTGCCTGCCCTGGCACCATAACAGCCATGGAAGGGAAGCAGACCTCTTATCTCCAATCTGCCTCTTAAGATTCTCCACCTTCTACTCCACCCTATGGCCCCTACTTGCCCCCTCCCACTGCTTGGAGGCCCTGTAGAGACCTCACAGACAGAGTCCTACACCCCTGTGGTCGTGCCTGTCCATCAGTTCGTGTCCCCGTGACCCTGTAGGATCCTGACTTCAGGGCGAGTTGGGACCTAGAACTGCCACTGGGAGGAAGGTGGGCAGAATTGCCCATGCACAGATTCAGGCCTCTTGGGTCCACCTCTATCCCTTTCCAATTCACCCGGGGCTTGGGGTGGCCTGGGCTCTCTGCTCCACCTTCACTGTCTAGGCTGTGGTATTCTGTCCCAGTAGCCTCACTGTGGCAGTAGCAGGGCCCATTGTGCACGTGAGGCAAGCCCAAGCCTTGGTGCTGGGGAACTTAGCATAGGGAACAGGGGTCACTAGGCCTGCTCTTGGCCACCAGGAATGTGAGCTCTGATGGTGCTGAGGCCCGGCGACGACTCCGTGAGTGCGAGGGTCTGGTGGATGCCCTTCTGCATGCTCTGCAGTCAGCCGTGGGCAGGAAGGACACAGACAACAAGGTGGGCACAGCCTCTCAGCGAGGGGCAGTATAGGACTGAAACCCAAGTCCAGAGCCATCTGGGGTGGTTCAGGGGAAAGGGTGTGTGGGTCTGGACATGACCCACAGCGTACTGGCCACACTGGGAAGGGCATGGACCTACACATGGCAAGAGCAACACAAGGGGTGGGGGCCCTCCCTGGCAGTTACCTCCCATGTGAACCTCCAGCTCAGGCCTCCCTATCTCTGCATGCTCGGTGCTCCCTGGCAGTGGTGTCTTTTCTGAGGACTGGCTCCATGCACGGGGTCCTGGGATGGTCAGCAGCCCCCACGCCCCATGACCCTGCTCCACCAGGTCACCTCTCCCCACAGTCAGTGGAGAACTGCGTGTGCATCATGCGGAACCTGTCCTACCATGTGCACAAGGAGGTACCTGGTGCTGATAGGTACCAGGAGGCTGAGCCTGGGCCCCCAGGCAGTGCAACAGGCTCCCAGCGCCGGAGGAGGGATGACGCCAGCTGCTTTGGTGGCAAGAAGGCCAAAGGTGGGTGGGTTATACTGGGACTTTCCTCTAGACTCCCACCCCAGGTGAAAAGCTCTCCATGTCTATGGTAGATAGTCACAGAGACCAGAGAATACCTGGTCCTCTCCCAAGGGGCAGGTCAGGAAGCAGAGAGCTGAGAATGGTGTGTGACTCTGGTCACACTGCTGATGGGTCAGGGTTCAGACCCAAGCTCAGCCTTCCCCCCTGCAATGGTGGGCCCCCATTTGGTGTCCATGTGATACTTTCCACCACTGCCTAGACTCTGTCCCTGAATTTTGGGGAAGTGCCCTGCAGGCCTTGAGAAGTCCCACTGCATCTGGGTGAGGCCCTTGCTGTGCACCATCCCCTTCGGTACCTGGAGGGTGCAGGTTCCAGCAACTTTCATCCCCTACAGCAGTGGTGGTTCATCCCCTTCACCTGTCCCTCTGACCGCAGGCCTCCCCTTCTCTGTCCTATGGGTGGGCATTCAGCCCTAGAATATTCAAGGTGAGATCCACATCCCACCTGCTTGACCCAGGGCATGCAGTGGGAACATAAGAGCATGGGGAGGGTGCACCTGCTCAGGTTCGTCTCCTCTCTCCTGTGCTTCCTTCGGCTGCCCAGAGGAGTGGTTCCATCAAGGTGAGTCCCTGTTTGTCCTACTGTCCAGGACTGGCAGGTGCAGTGGGTACCAGGGAGATGCCTGTCCCTAATTACTTAGGCAGTTATTTCCATGACAACTGCAGGACAGCTGGTGCAGTGGGCTCCTGGGATGCCTTCCAGCCTCAAGGCACTGCCCCACCCCCAGTCCCATTAAAGGGCCATCTCCATGACAACTGGGGACAGGACAAATGCAAGAATGTGAGCCCTGGGCTGGTGGGGTGGCTGCAAGACTCAGCTTCCTAGTCAGTACTGTAGCAGAACATAGTGGGCAGGACTCAGGGTATATCCATACCCAGGGTACCAGGAGGCAAACTCTAACCCTCAGACACAAGGGTACATAAAGGTCCCATGAAGCTGGGCAGGGCAGGGTCCCACCCTGCTGACTTTCCAGGGTTACCCTCAGCAGAGATGCGGGTGGTGGCTGGAGACAGCTCTCTGTTGTGGAGGAATGCAAGTGTTTTTGTAGAGCTATTTTACTGGCTTGGCCTGGATGTGGGGGTTCTCCTGCCTAATAGAGGCTGGCTGTTGTCCAGGCGAGTTTTCCCTTTATATTAGACCCTTAGTTCCAGCCTTGCCTTGCTCTGAGACTTCAGTAAGTCCTGTTCCTGTCAACTCTGAGTCTGCTTCTACCTGCCACCCAGCCTGGGCTTCTGGTTCTCTGACTTTACAGACCTTACAGCCACAGAGGGCCTGTAGGGTCTGTGTTATAACTCCCAGCACTGATGGGAGAGGAACCCTGGCTGCTCAGGACAAGGCCAAGATGTCCCCAGGTCCCACTGCATCACTACCCTGTCCTGGCAGTTTGTCTTTCTGAACTCTGAGAATGATGTTCTACTCCCAGGGCCTTCTGGTACCCAAGGCTGATCACCAAGTTGCTCTTTGGGCTCTGGGTAGGAGAGGGCTATGCGTAACCACCCCTCAAACATTCTTCCTATGGAGTCTACCTCACCTCTGGCCACGCTTCCATTCCAGGCAAGAAGGATAGTGAGATGGACCGGAACTTTGACACGCTGGACCTGCCCAAGAGAACTGAGGCTGCCAGAGGTGAGTGGGCAGGGGCAGAACCAGCACCAGCACCAGCAGGCTTGGGTCCAGGACTGGCCAGGTGGTGAGAGTTGTACCATCAGGATCAGGCCCATACATGTGGGGTTTTCTGTGGATTGTCCAGTCCTTGGCATCTCCTGAGAGCTCAGAATCAGGGTCAGTCCCACAGGTCTTTTCAGGCAGGGTTGATGGGAGGAGTGGCTGGGCTCTTGCTCAGTTATTCAACAGGTGAGAAGTGGGCCAGTTGGAGGAAAGAATCCTGAGAAGGCAGTCAGTGCCACTCTCAGTGGTCATTCTCAGGCAGAAACAGGCAGGTGACTCATTTCCCCTGTCCCCTTGCCTGCTGCATTCCTAATATGCACTGGCATTGTGCTGAGCACTGAGAACCCAGCCTGAGAGAAAACTACCAGGGAGGGGCCTAGCGAGCCCTGCCAATCAGAATAGCTCAGATGCCCCCAGGTGGGGTGAAGGGCCCAGCCCTGGGAGGTCTGTGGAGTACTTCCAGGCAAACCTGTACAGATGTCCTAAGAAGGTAATGTGCTTGGAGAGTGTGGAGCAGGAAGCTCAGCAGGCTAGAGTGCAGGGAGTATGGGGCATGAGGAATAGGGGAATGAAATGCATGGGAGGACAGGGGAGAGAGAGCTGATGTCCTGCACCAGCCAGAAGCCCCAGAGTGGGATCAGACAGGCACGGAAAGCCGTCTGGGACCCTATGTGTGGAACCCAATGCGGGGCACCATCTCCAGGTAGCCATGTAGCCAGGCTGGGCCTCAAAGGTTAAGAGCCTGAAGTGGTTGCCTGGAAGGGCAGGCCCTGTTGCTAGGGGTGGAGCTGTGACTGCAATCTCAGGCACTGGCAAAGGCCATCTCAGTTGCCAAGGAAGAAGGACCTGTTGCTAGGGGCGGTCTTATGGTTGCACAGTTTCTGTGTATGCTCCTGGAGAGGGGTCTTGGTATAGGGGAACGGCCCAGTTGCTGCCTCCTTCTGTACCCCAGGCTTCCTGAATACTAAGGCTGCTAGTCCTTTTTCTTTGGTAGCAAGGTTGAGGAAGTACTCTTACCTGAACCTATTGCTGAGCTTCAGTTTACTCTGTGAAATGGGAATGCTTTCCTCTTTTTGTGGCTGTAAGAGAGGACTACATTGGTAATAAGTACTGGTCCAGGGGCTGGGGATTTAGCTCAGCGGCACAGCGCCTGCCTGGCAAGTGCAAGGTTGTGAGTACCGGGAAAAAAAAAAAAAAGTACTGGTCCACACCCATCTTGGCCCCGCCTCTGGGAGTACTGTGGGTAAGGCTGATCAAGTGGGAAGAGAGTCTAGATGATCATGGTGTGGATGCCCTGTGTCCAGGCTTCGAGCTGCTGTATCAGCCTGAGGTGGTACGTCTCTACCTGTCCCTCCTTACGGAGAGCCGGAACTTCAACACCCTGGAGGCTGCCGCTGGTGCTTTGCAAAACCTCAGTGCTGGCAACTGGATGGTGAGGGCCGGGTCTTCCGGGGAGGGCAAGAGCTGGGCGGAGGGGAGCACCTCGTTTTGCTGCCTGTAGCCCCTGCTCAGGCTGGTGGGGGGGAATGGGGATTCCATCACAAGGTCTTGGGGGTGCAGTGTGGTGAACTTCTTATAGCTGGTGGAGGTGTGCTGAAGCTGCTGGGGTAGGGTTTTGTGCTGCCTGACCCCTGCAGAGCAGCCCACCGCCCTGCCCCCACCGTCACAGTGGGCCACATACATCCGTGCCACAGTGCGCAAAGAGCGCGGGCTGCCGGTGCTGGTGGAACTGCTGCAGTCTGAGACAGACAAGGTGGTGCGTGCTGTTGCCATCGCATTGCGCAACCTCTCGCTGGATCGGCGCAACAAAGACCTCATAGGTGAGAAGGCTGGAAGGGCCAAGCTAGGGAGTGCTACTCACTCTTAAGTAGTGCAGGGGTCCAGGCCCCTCCCACGTGGCTTGGGCTGGTACCAGCCACAGGAGCTTGCCTCTCCCTGGTCCTGTCCTCGAGGCTTAACCCACTTTCTGAGGGGCTCCCTCCTTGGTACCTATCTCCTGACCTCTGCGCCTTCCAAAGGGGTGGGGCACAGGTGTATCCTAACACCAGACCCTGCCTCTCAGGAAGCTATGCCATGTCTGAGCTGGTGCGGAACGTGCGCAATGCACAAGCCCCTACACGTCCTGGGGCCCACCTGGAGGAGGACACGGTGGTGGCTGTGCTCAACACCATCCACGAGATTGTGTCCGACAGCCTGGACAATGCGCGCTCACTCCTGCAGGCCCATGGTGTACCAGCGCTTGTGGCGCTGGTGGCAGCAAGGTGGGTGGGGTCGGGGTGGCGTTGGGACGGGGATGGGGCAGGGGAGGACGAGGTGGGGCAGGTCTCTGACCCTGCCTCTGGCCTGCCGCAGCCAGTCAGTGCGCGAAGCCAAGGCAGCCTCACACGTGCTACAGACGGTGTGGAGCTACAAGGAGCTGCGCAGCGCCCTGCAGAGGGAGGGCTGGACCAAGGCTCGCTTCCAGGTGCGGCTCTTCCTGGCTTCCCACCCTCACTTTGCCAGGTTGGACCCCCAGGAAAGGCCTCTGACCTTACCTCATATCTGTGTTTTGTATCTCAGTCAGCTGCTACCACCGCCAAGGGCCCCAAGGGACCACAGAGCCCTGGGGGCTTTGATGACAGCACACTGCCGCTGGTAGACAAGAGCCTCGGTGAGTAGAGGCAGCATTCTGTCCCTTCCTAAGCTCAGGAGCTGGTACACCTGTGCTGATGGTAATAAGGTGGATAAAGGGGAGAAAGGAGACAAGCCTTCTGCTACTGAAATGACCCCATGGTTGAGGGGCCATCTCCCTGCCTTCTGGTACTGCTATTTCCATGGCATCTGCATGGGTGCCAGGCTGGAGGATGGTTGCCAGCAAACAGAGGTTGGACAAAGGAATGCAAAGACATTAGTGACAGAGGGCACCTGGTGTGACTGAAGCCAGTCTGTTGGGCTTGTCTGCCCTGGTCCCACCTCAACCTATCCACGGATTGCAACCAGCCACCTGCTCATGCCTTGCAGATGGTGAGAAGCCAGGCAGCCGGGATGTGATCCCCATGGATACACTTGGTCCAGGTGAGAGCAGATGTGCAGACTAGTTTCCTGTTCAGGAGGGGTGGGCCTGGGAGGGGTCTGGTGGTTGTATGGCGTATGTATGTGATGGGAAAGCTTTCCAAGGAGGTGTTGGTTGTAGAAGAGATTTGGTTCAGGGGTGCTCAGGGAGTGAGGCAGTGGGTGGTGAGAGCTGGCTCCAGGACGGTATGTGTGGACTGTACAGTAGCCACCTATTCCAGGGGTCTGCTCTGTCTGGGCTGAGATCACCTGTTCTTACAGTGCCACCCCTCAGAGCTCTTTTCACATCCCCCACCACAGATGGGTACTCTACTGTGGACCGGAGGGAGCGGAGGGCCCTGGGCAGCAACTCTGCAGGGGAGGCCTCTGAGAAGGAACCATTAAAAGTAAGTGGCCATCAGCAGGTTACCCAGGAGGCTTTGGGTCCAGAGTTCGCCCAAAGAGTAGCCAGGCAGTGTTGAGTTTGATCTTGGGTACCACTGGGGGGGCACTCACTGGTGGGGCAGCTGAGCCATGGGACCTTGCCCAGGAAGCAGCCCCTCATATCAGCCAGCCTGTGAGTGCTGATGGGTTTGCAGTTCATGCTCATTGGGCAGAAGGGGGCAGGGAACGGAGTTGCCCCGCTACACTCTGCAGAGGACCAGAGAGCCCGAGCAAGCAGGTATTCACACTTCTCTTTGTGCATGTGTGTGGGCAAGGTGCCTGCCATAGCCCACTCATGAGGACAGCATCTGCCACCTGCTCTGTGCCAGTCCCTAGCTTCATGCACGGGCCTCTATGTGCATCCATGTGCCACCTGAGCCTGTGTGAGGCACACCAGCTCAGCTCTCTTGTGCTGCCTTGGTCGGCCCATCCTTCCAGCACTGCCCTGACCCCATGGACTAGCCCAGCTCTGCCCTTTAGCTGCAGCTAACTTGCTTTGTTCTGCCTCTAATGTCCTGCTGCTACCTACCTATCTACCTGTGTGCTGCAGCCCGACCCCAGCAGGAAGGCCCCTCCTCCCGGGCCCAGCAGGCCTGCGGTCAGGCTGGTGGACGCCGTGGGGGACTCTAAGCCTCAGCCTGTTGACTCCTGGGTCTAGCTTGCATGCCTGGTACGTTTTCTTGTCTGGTGGTTCTCTTGTCTGGTTGTTTGTCTGTTTTCCCTGGGCAGGGGCTTCTTGTTAATCTCTGCTGGCTGCATGTTCTGCTCTCCTTGTGTGCTCCCCAGCAAGCACAGCAGCCCCAAGCATTCATCCTAGGCAAGGTCAGACAGAGGTCTGAGCAGGAGGGTCCTCTCAGGGCTTACAGCCCCATCGTAGGCACTGTGAGATCAGGGATGGGCCCCCAGACCTTCAAACACCCCTAGCACAGGGTTCCACAGAGACCAGTGAGTCAGGATTTGCCTTGGTGTCAAGTCATTTGGGGTCGCCTCCCACCCTACCCCTGACCCGTAGCAGCTGGAACTATTTGTCCACATCTCCTTCAGTGCGGCCTCTGGAGGCAGTTGTCCTGTCTGTATGTTGCCCTGCCCCATTCTGCTGACCCTGCTGCCTGTGTTTTGCTGTAGCATCCACCTTCCCCTCCCTCTGCAGGGCCCAGGCTCAGCCATTTGTTAAGAGATTGGATCGCCAGGAGAAAGGCCATCCTGAGCAGACCCTGTCGTGGAGCTTGGAGCCCTCTGTTGGCAGGGGTTGGTGGAGCCTCCTGTCCTGAGCCAGGGCCCGATTTTCTGCACACCCTCCTGTCTGTCTCTCCCTCTGCTCTCTTGACCTAACTCCTAGGCCTGAGTTAGCTGTTTACTGACATGGTGCTGTGTGTGAGTGTGAGTGTGAGAACATTGGGGCGGGACCCAGTGAGGCGATAGGGGAGGGAGCCTGGCTTTTCTTTGGCAGAGTAGGAGCGTGTGCCCCATTTGCAAGGTACCCCAGAGGAGCAGTATGGACTGAGGGAGGAACATTCAGGCAGGGAGGGGTCTTGCGGAAAGAAGTTGAACTCCAGAGCCCTACTCCGCATGGCAGGCTGGCCATGGGCAGCTTGGGGCTGCTCTATAAGGGCAGGCCCGGGCAGGGAGGCTTTGGAGGCAGCAAAGTCAGGGTCAGGCTCTGCTTACTCCCTTCTACCCTTGGAGTCCTGTGGGTGGGGGACCCCAAAGCAGAGGGACCCTGCACTGAGCCACTTCTGGCTGGGGCCACCATGGCTGCTGCCTCGCATCTGTCCAGAACCTCAATAACCTCCAGGACTGACCTCCAGTGGTGGCAGGAGACTGCTGTTCAGTGCCTGCTGTTTGTGACTTAAAAACAGAAGAAAAACACTGATAAAAAGCATTTAAAATGAAACCAAAATAAGATTGTATTGGTAAACATCTAAATTTTTGTAAGAAAATTTAAAAATTAAAAAAAGGAGCAAAGGAACTTCGTGTCTTGTCAGATCCCCACTTACAATCCGCTGGCCCCTCCCTTGGTGCTAAGGGTGAAGGGTGGGGAATGGGCAGACACAGACGGCAGGGGCAGGGGCAGGGGCAGGGGCCTGGCCCATGTGCATTTCCTTATGCCCTCCCACCCTGGGTTGCTACTGATCCCTTCTTTAGGCCCAGAGGAGTGGGCTGGCTTCTGGGTGATTAGCTGGCTCTGAGCCCAGGAGCGAAGTCTTGGTCAGGGTTGGTTTAGACTAGGAACTAGACCCCTACTAGGGCCCTGGCAACCCTCAGGGTGGCCAGCAGTCTCCTTCGATAGTTAAGGCCTGAGGGCCAAGGTGACAGCTGGGGGAGCTTTGGACATAGGTCAACACAAGCCAGCTCTTCATCATTTGCCAGCTGGGCAATCAGCGGAACTATCCAGCCATTCTGAGCCTACCTTTCTCTTCTGGTAAACAAGACTGGGTAGGACAGGAGAAGGTACTTCCACTTAAGGTCACCTGTGTGTCCAGAGGGCCTGGGTACTCTACATAACCCCAAGCCCACCTGATCCAGCCCTTTCTTGGTCAGAGATGGGTGTGAAGGCTTTACCCTGTTCTGGTTTCTAGGGAGACAGACATCCTGGTGGATCTAATGTGTCCCTGGCCTAACCAGAAGGAGCAGTGCCAAGCAGGGTTGGATCCCCAACGACACTGTCATTGGCTCCAGTTTTTTGTTGACTTTTTGCAGTGCTAGGGCTTGGAGCTGATACCTCGTACATACTAGGCAAGTGTTCTACCACTGAGTTATAGCTAAGCCTTCAATTCAGTCTTTATCAGCAGATACCATCCAGATGCATCCCAGCAGCCGCCAGCTAGGTGTGCTACCCAGTCCTGAGCCTGGCCTATAGCATTAGCATCCAGTTGCCAGGGGCTTGGCGTGTTTGATGTTGAAACTGAGGGCCTCAGGAAAGAGGGAGTAGTGCAATCGAGAAGAATAAGACTCAGTTGATCTCTTGTATATAAATGTTTAGATCTTTAATTTCCATTTTATGTCTTTTAAATGTTTTGGTATGGAGGATTATTACAGCTAGCTGAGTTTAGTAAAGAGGTTATGAGTTAGTCTTAAAAAGGTAAAAATTTGAGTCAGAAGTGTGATGAGTTGGTGGCTGGTACTGTCACCGAGACACTGCTGCCACCTGGTGACAGCAAACCTCTAGGATGGCCTGAGTGAGCCCAGCAGTTTCTAGATGTCTGCAGCTTGCTCAGTCTTTCCCAGGTCTAATGATTTGTCAGTGCCTGCGGACCACTGAGTTGTACACACCCTATTGGAGTTCCATTTGCTGGCTGGCGACACTGTCATTGGCTCCAATTTTTTGTTTACTTTTTGCAGTGCTAGGGCTTGGAGCTGATACCTCGTACATACTAGGCAAGTGTTCTACCACTGAGTTATAACTAAGCCCTCAATTTAGTCTTTATCAGCAGATACCATCCAGATGTATTGCAGTGGTTTTGCATGGTGATCCCCCTACACTTTGAAGTGTGCCAGTGTGTGACAATTTGGAACTGCAACACAGAAGGTCAGCCTGAGGAAGACTCCTGCCTAAAGTATGCTTCACATGTAAGGAAAGACCCCAGGATCACAGATATGACCTCAGCAGCAAAACATCCATCTCATCCTTCCAGACCAGACTTGGCAGGGTAACCCAGAGCAGGGTGGGCAATTAAGACTGCTCTGTGCTGCCTTGGCCTTTGTAGACAGCCTTCTCTAGGCCATCCACCACCTTCAGGTACTCCAGGTATGAGCTGTAGTGTGTACATTCAAAGCTGCTGCTCCCACGCACGTATGCCAGGAAGTCTGGTGTTCCTGGGACGATGACATTGTCAGCCAGGAGTACTGTCCCCTTCCGCAACAGGCCACATTCCTGCAGGGGACAGACAGGTGGAGGAGGGACAGTCAGAGTGCCTGGTAAACCTACCCCCAAACAGGAGCTATCCCCAGCTTGCTGCTTCACACACTAGCCTGTGTCCAGCCCAGGAGTCCAGGTCTCTTTAACTCCCTTACTTTCTCTTCAGAGCGTCCACTTCAGAAAAGGGCTGTGTTAGGCAGTGCTACCTCTGAACCATCAGCTCCAAGAGGACAGGGACTTTTGCTCCTCCATTTACTCCTTTTTGTGTGTGGTGGATCAAACCCAGGTCCTTGTGTATGCCAGGAAAGTGCTCTGCTACTGAGCTATACCCCAGCCTCCATTCACTCCTATATTCATCCCCGCCCACTAAAACAGTATGTGGTGTGTAGCAGTTGGTCAGTAAATGCTACATGAATGGAGGTGGTGGTGAGGTCAGAGTGTGGCCAATGTATCCCTTAGACACTTAGCACTAGTAATATAGGCACCTGCAAGGGATAGGTTCTGGGGGCTTGGGCCACTAATGTGGTCACTAAGGGATATCCAGCCTGCCTAGGGTGACTTGCAAGTTTGAGGGAGCAGGGCCAACCTTTCCACTGACAAGCATGCCCCTTGTCTGTTCTGGACAGCCCCAAGCTCCTACATTTGCAGACCCCTATTTCCACTGGGAACACACTGGGGTTTCTGGGCCCAGGCTCTGTGCAGAAGGAAGGAGTCATTACTGGACATGGTACCACAGGTAATGGTCTGTAGGCTCCACTCTTAGCAGGGAGACATCATAGGACGCTTGTCTAAGCTGGGAGGTGGATCTGCTTACATCACACCGAAAAAAAAGAAAAAATAGTAGAGGAACATTGAGAGGAAGTGTGTCCTGGTGGGGGAGAGGCAGCTGGAGAGGGGATGTCCCTGTCTTAGACTGACTTTAGAGGTGCTCCCCCCTCCCCACAGAATTATAAAAGTTAAAGAAAGTAATCTTGAACATCAGAAGCAAAATCAAACAGTGATCTGGGGGTGTATCTTAGTGAGAGAGTGATTGCCTAGCATGTAGAACCTGAGTTCCATCCCCCACACTGAAAATAAAAGAATGCGACCAGGGTGTCTCAAATCACGGACAGCAGGGATCTGAAAAGCACTGGCATTTGACTCTGTGCCCTCCTCTAAACAGCCACGCAGTGATCTGCCTGAGGGAGGCAGTCATTCCCAGTCCATGAGCTCTGGGAGAAAGCTGAGGGGTCCTTAGGGGCCCTGTGGAAAATGAAGCTCTGAGGTCAAAGGACAGTCCCATGTTCCAGAATGTGAATAGGAAGCATCACTATAAATCTCGATGTATTATTTTCTCTTAAAAAAGCTGAAAATGTTGGCTGAAAAGACCTAAAATAAAGACCTCCTCAGCAGGAGGCCACAAGTTCCCAGGACCTGAGAGGGAGCTCCCTCAGGTTTGGAGCAGGAAATGTACAATATGAGGAGGGTGTCTGGGTCCCTAAACTCTTAGGGTCAGCCAGGGACTAGAGAGCCAGCTTGAAGAGGCACAGTGTGGCTACCAGTAAGACCAAGGACCCTAAAGTTCCATTACTTCATCACGGGAGAAAGTGTTGGTCACCTATGAGGGGGTCTAGGCGCCCACTGTTCCTTAGGAAACTCATCTGAGGGGCGAGAAGACAGCTCCTATCCCGCTTGTCCTCAGGTCGCCTGGGCCTTCTGAGCAACCACTGGGGCCACCTGGAGAATTCTGGCTAAAAATACATTGGAGTCTGAGCAGATCCCTGGCTGTCATGCAGCAGAGACAGTGGTGTGGGAGGGAGCACAGCCTTGCAGGCCAGGTGGTCTTGAACTCTCCACCAGGCTGGTGACACTCTTCCCTTCACACATGGGGGCTCATTCTTCTCCCCTTGGACAAGGGCTAGATTTGGTAATGCTAACAGAATAAGGCAGAAGTGGCAGTATTAGGTCATAAAAAGGCACCAAGGCTTCTGTCCACTCCTGCCCACCCACTGTGTTGTGAAGATGCTCAAGCAGCCCTTCGAAGACGCCTGCGTGACGGGCTTACGGCCTCCCAAAGTAGCCATCCAGTTCTGGATTTGCACCTGTGCCTAAACCCCCAACCCTTTACTCCTCTGATGCTCACAGAGCTGACTAATAGAGTCGGTGGCTGGGTTTCCACAGGGCCAGGCTGACTTGGATCCTATACCAGCCAGGAGGCAGTGAGCCCTGGCTGTGGGTCTGTAGAGCACATTTTATTTTGTTTTGTTTTTTTGAGACAGGGTCTCACTATGTAGTTCAGGCTGGCCTTGAGCTCATTTTGTAGCCCAGGCTGGTCTCAAACTCCCAACGATCCTCCTGCCTCAGCCTCCTGAGTGCTGGGATTACAGGCATGTGCCACCACGCCCGGCTTTGTAGAGCACATTTTAAATGTACAGCCATTTCCAATTTTTAAAGTAGAGCTATTTCCAATTCCTGCCGTCTCTTCTTTTGAGATAATTACCAGTGTTGAACAAGCACTGTGAAAACTATTAGTTTCCTAGTTACTGAACTGCAATATTTGCTACTTTTCTAAAAGCAGACCCCTGTAATTATCAGATGCACTAAAAGCTGCTGAAATCCACTCCTGTGACACCAGCCCTCTCTCCAAGTGCAGCCGTCTGGTCGGCCACCTGTTCTCTGCCTTCAGTACCCAGTTTCCAGGTTCATATCCCCTTTCTTGGGTGGGCCTCCCTCTGCCTGAGAACTCCTCATGGCGGTCCTGTCCTGACCTGCAGGTCTCCTTCCTGCTTACCCCAGCCCCTGCCCCCCATACCTGTCCCCTTGGTCAAAGCAGGTTCTCTGGTCTAGTTTCTAGTCCCAGATTCCCCCCTCTCTTGAAAATCTTAGGGCTCATACTTCCAAAGTGGGCCTAGGGCCTATAATTCCTACACTTGAGAGGCTAAGGCAGGAGGATCACTGAAAGTTCAAGGTCAGCAGGAGCTAATTGGTGAGTTCAAGGCCAGCCTGAACTATACCTTGTTTCAAAATGGGTGGGGGTGCTGGGGCCTCTGATTCACCCTCCGCAGTCACCCATCTTCTCATTCTACCAGACCAACAAAAATCCTTCTCGACAACAGGGTTTCCCCACCTCACGTACTCAAAGCCCTCTGTGCCCCACCTCTCTCTGTTGCCAGGACGTTCTGTGTCCTTTCACACCCACCAGACCCCTGCCAGTGCTGGTTTCTCATCCGTGTCCCGGCCACAGTGGCACTGCCCTGCCGTGGCGGAGCCAGTCACATTCAGGGTCTTGCTGCACACAGGAGGTGTCCAACTCCTGGGACAGCTGTGGGTGATGACACCAGACAGACAAGGAGGAGCTGCTCAGTGTCTCCTTATTGGCCATCAGGGAGGGACGGGCTCCTCCCCAGGGCCACTCATTAAGTGTTAGTCCATTCGGGGCTGCCCAATGCCCCAAGCCCTGGCCACTCAGTGAGGATGACTCCCACTCACTGCTGGAGTCTTGGCAAGGTGAGGCCTGGTGAGCAGCGGCACTGAGGGCTGGGAGGGGGCTGAGGGGCTGAGAGGCTGGATAGCAGAAGCCTGGGAGAAAAATCCAGGACACAGCTGCTTTCACTGTGCCAGCACTAGCTGGGGCCCAGTCTGAACTCTGGCTCCAGAGCTGCTCCATCTCCTTGGCCCTCTGCCCTCATGGCCCAGGCGTTTTGGATCAAGGTGTTCTACATGGCAGCACTTTGCGCCCACTTTTCCAGCAAGTCATGCTTCCTGGCCCTGGCCCACACCCCCTGCCCCAAACTCCTTTTTTCCCATTTCCACCCAGGGCCTCTATGGATCTAAAAACAGGATCTAAAGGAGGAGCGAGGCAGGTGTTGCTCACCTCTAGGAGATGGGTGTCTGGCAAGTAGCGGTCTTTCCAGTGGTCGAGGAAGACCATGTCCAGCGTGTCCACATCATACTTCTTCTTCAGCTGGGGGATGAGGTCGTGGGACGCCCCAAGCAGGACGGTGACCTGGAACAGTGTGCTGCTGTTATCATGCCCACAGGGACACAAACTTCCCCAGCGGTTTACTCTGAGTTGGTGGGGAGACAAGTCAGCATTCTGTCCCCTTCCCTCAGGGAGCAGGGAAACCGCTCTCCCAGAAGTGCTGGTGGTTTCTTCCTTAACCCTGAGCACCAAGGGGCCTCTCGCTAGTGTTTTGTTTTGGAGTTTCATTGTTGGTTTTCTTTTTTGTAGTACTGGGG